ACCGCGGAAGCGGGATTTTTACCGCAGAAGCGATTTTGCCTGGGCAGAAATATTTAAGTTCATCTTCGCGAATTTTTAAGGGTTTCTCATTTCTAACTTCGGACTTGGAGAATTGTGAGCGATTTTGAAGAGGGTTTTCAAGGAGCTTCGATAAGGTAAGGATTTTTGGACTTAAAACACGATTCTTTGGTACTATTACATGGATTAGGACTGAAAACTTAAGAAATTAATGGACAAAAATGGTGGTTTAGGGCTTGAACTTAAGAGAGCAAAAATTGGGATTTGAGGGGTCATTTGGACCCCGATTTTGGTGTTCTTTATATGTATAGACTCGTGGCGAGATAAGGAACCCATAGATGTGAAAATTTCCGAGTTTCGAGAAGTGGTCCCGGCGCTCGGGTTTTGCCAATTTCGGGATTTTTAATATTTTTTGATTGTTTTCGATTGGGTATTGTTCCTTTAGCATATTGTGACGTATTCGTTGTGGTTTTGGTCAGATTAGACGCGCGAGGAGGCCGATTTGAGAGGCAAGGGCGTAGCGAGCTAGAGTTTTGGCCGGCTTGAGGTGAGTAATGAATGTAAATGATGTCCTGAGGGTTTGAAACCCCGGATTTGCACATCGTAGTGCTATATTGAGGTGAGACACGCGCTTGATGATGAGCGCGGGGTCGTTACTATTGGGAATTGTGACTTGGTCCGTCCCGAGTGATTTTTTACCGTGTATTTGATTGAAACTTACTTGATATCATCATTATTTGGATAAATTGTCATATTTGGGCTTCGTGCCAACGGTTTGGACCATTCAGGGGTTGTTATTTCTGTTTCCTCACTATTTTGACATAATACTTGGACTCAGCCCTATTGTTAAAAACTGTTTTGCAAACTCAGCCACTTTTATTCAGATTTGAAACTTAAATGATATTTCTAACGATGTTTTGGGCTGAGAACTACTATTTTATTATTGCCTAGGGCTTATGTGATTCTGGACTGAGTATGGGATCGGGCTGCACGCCGCAACAGTATTATATTGATATTGATATGAGGCCGAGGGCCTAGTTGATGCCACGAGATGGCTTGATATTGCGCTTGGGCCGTAAGGGGCTCCTCCCGGAGTCTGCACACCCCCAGTGAGCTCCGTCGACGATAAATATATGGAGCGGGCTGCACGCAGCAGCGGGTACTAGAGAGTACCGTACTATGTGTTGCATTTCTTATTTGACTATCATTTATTTGCTTATCCGTTGCAGCATTTCCATAATTTATTTTCATTGGTTTACTGATTTTATACTACTTGATTTAAATTGCTGTAGTTATAGATTACAATGTGTCTATCTAGGATTTCTTACTCTCAGCCTTTATTTATGTTTATTACTCACTGGGTCGGAGCACTCACATTACTCTCTGCACCTTGCATGCAGATCCAGGTGCATCTGAGACTGTTGAGGACTTCCAGCTGGGCAGCACATATCCGGGAGCATCAAGGTAGCTGCCTGACGTCCGCAGCCCTGATCTTCCCTTTATCCATTTGCTTCATTCCGTACTTCTTTAGAACGATATGTAGTAGGTTGATACTCATGTATTAGAGGCTCAGACTTGTGACACCGGATTCTTCGGGCTATGTAGTAGTATTGTTATTTGGGATTCCGCATGTTTTAACTCTATTTCAGATTTCCAGTATTATGACTTAGTAATTTATCTGTGTTAATTAATCATGAACTGTATAGAAATGGTTAAGGTTGCTAAATTGGTCGGGCTTGCCTAGCAGTGTGTTGGGCACCATCACGAGCGGGGTTGGGGTCGTGACACTCCTAGTCTTACATCACAAGAATAATTCACAATCTTTCCTTATATCACCGCGGTAGCCTTGCATTTAGTTTTGAAAATTATTTTCAAGAAATAGCATCCCACATTTTAGCCACCTTATCACATCACATGACTTCTAGTAGTTCCCCTACTAGCCACACGTATCAAGCCCACCTTATCTCACCGCACACGTTTCAACCCTAAAACCTTATACCACCGCATGCGTATCAAAATCACAACGTATCACAAATCTCACCTCAAGTGCCCAATATCACAACTTGCCAAGAAATTAACAATAACATTGTTTTCACAATAATGAGCCCATGGCACAACCACAATGTACACAAAATTCTCAATAATAACAACCGAAAGTTAATAACTCAACAGAATAGTATTTTAATACTTATCACTTTGCCATAATGTGAATCACGACCTTTATAACTCAATGCCTCTTTCAACAACAAGATATTCCAAGAATATCAACTACAAGTAAAGAATTCAACAGTTGCATAATGAATATGGAATAAGGGAAAACAAGAACTTCAACTAAACATATAGAGAAATTAACAAGTAAGAGATAAGACAAGTAGATTATGTGAAAGTATACTAACATGTTAAGATAACTCAATTAAGGTATGAAAGGAATCTACATAGCTAAAACCGGTAAATTTTTATATTTAGCCCATATACACACTCGTCACCTCGCTCACAAGACTTCCACACACCACAATTATCACAAAAACAACACCAATCCTAAGGGGTAATTTTCTCACACAAAGTTAGGCAAGACACTTACCTCAAAACACACTAACACAATCCACTAGTAGGCCTTTTCCTTGATTATCTAATTTTGAACGGTTCTAATCTAGACAAAATAATTTCATACCATAAATATAAACTATAGGAAACTAATTCGAATAACAAAATTCGATCTTTGCAAAGAAATAAAAAGCCAACTCCAAAAGTCAACCCGGGCCCGCATCTCAGAACCTGACTAAAATTATAGAATTCGAGCACCCATTCGATAACGAGTCCAACCATACAAGAATTACTCAAATTCGACCTCAAATCGCCTTTCAAAACTCCAAAATTTAGTCTAAGAAGTTTTCACAATTTTTCTCCAAATTTCCAACTCAAAATCTCTAATTAGATGATAAAAATAATAATATATTCATGAAATATAGTCCAATCCGGGTTAGAATCACTTACCCCAACGATTTCCTTGAAAAACTCTTGGAAAATCGCCTCACACTAAGCTTTCTAGGTCAAAATTATGTAAAATGAGATATAACCCTCGTTTTGAAACTTAAATGTTGCTGCTCAGGTGCTCTTCTTCGCGAATGCGGCATGTGCCTCGCGTTCACAAAGCAAAAAATCTCAGCTGCCAAATTCCTCTTCGGCAACGCGAGATGCCCCACGCGAATGCGATGAACACTGAGCCCTGGTCCACGCGAACGCGACCCCTCAAACGTGAACATGGTGAACAACTCCTTATACCTTCGTGAATGCGTGTCCATCGTTGCGAACGCGTAGAAAAAACCTCACCTTCCTCCCAGATACCCTTCGCAAACGTGAGACCTCTCTCGCAAATGCGAAGAAGGAAACCATACATTAGAAAATTTAGTAGTCTCACAAAACCAAAAATGAAGCCGAACTTGATCCGAATCACACTCGAGGCTCCTGGGACCTCAACCAAACATACCAAAGAGTCCTAAAAATCATACGAACATGCTCCAAGTATTAAATCACATCAAACAATACTAGAAGCATGAATCCCGCATCAATTCTAGCCTATGGAACTTATGAACTTTCGAATTTCAAAGCTAATGCCGATTCATACCAAAACAACTCCGATTGACATCAAATTTTACACACAAGTCATAAATGACATGAAAGACCTATTCCAACTTTCGGAATCGGATTCCGACCCTGATATCAATAAAGTCAACTACCGATAAAACTTTCCAATCTTCCAAACCTTTAACTTTCTAACTTTCGCCAATTCACGCCGCAACGACCTGCGTACATCCAAATCAACATCCAGGCACGCTCCTAAGTATAAATTCACCATACAAAACTATTGGAACCATAAAAACTTTATTACAGAGTCATCTACACAAAGGTCAAACTACGGCCACCTTTTCAACTTAAACCTCCAATTAGGGACTATGTGTCCTATTTTACTCCAAAACTCACCCGAAACCAAAACCAAATACCTCCGCAAGTCACATAATCACAATATAACATAGAGGATGTAATAATAGGGGATCAGGTCTAAAATACTCAAAACGACTGACCGGGTCATTACATCGGTGCACCTGTGTATGAACTTCCAGCATATTATGTTGGAACTCCAACACACGGGAAAGTTCCATCATAACATACTGGAGATTGTAGTACCTGTGTATCAACTTTCCAACATATTATGCTAGAACTCCAGTATATTATGCTGGAAGTTCACATGTAAAAAATTCAAACTCCAGTATATTATGCTGGAATATTTTCCGGATTTTGAACAATATTTTCGCCCAGATATATCTTTACATGAAAAGAGGCTAAATTTTGATTACTTTTGAAATTGTGGCTATTGTTTAATTACCACTTGTAAATCTGTCTATTTTTGAATTTCCCCCAATAACCACAGGTATGAAGCCCAACGCCCAGACCTATCCTCTATTACACGAGTCACTTTAGTGTGCCTCAAAACATATTGGGGTGCGTTCCTTTTTTGAATCTTACGTGAACGCGAGATGTTTCGTGCATTAAGCTGCCCTTTACCTTAAAGTGCCTCAACGAACATACATTAATTGTCTACACAATCGTGAAACAATCGTTCTATTACGCTCATGTAATCTCTGTAAATATTTATCCCCATATATTGTCATTAGAGAAATCAAAAGAAAAAAGGAGCTAAAAAAGAATGAGAACATCACACTAATAAATAAATCTCGTAGTTATTATATGTAAAATATTAAACTTGAAAAAGTCATAATATCTTATATATCTTGACCATTGAAAATACATCTATAGAAAGAGATTGGTATACATAACTTCAAACACGACACTATTTGTTTCACACGCTAGCTAGAACAAGCCAAACATGCCATATATTCATCACACGTGCGCACACGCTATATATATATGTGTGTGTGTATGCATATATGTATGTATGTATATATAAAGAGAGAGAGTGTCTTTTATTTCTTGAGAAGGTGGCCTTCTACATCTTTGGTCACATCAAGGAGTAAACCCATGAAAACGAGGGGCTCAGGGGTGTCATCAATTTTCTTCCGGTACTCGAATGTCCATTTAGTCCACTGATCTTCACTGGATGTGATAATAGTGAAAGAATTATACAATTCTAATAAATCTCCTTCAATTACTTTCCAAGTGGGTGATTTCTTGTGAGGATCAAAGGCTTCAACCACTTCCTTACAAATCTTTTCTTTTCCATATATTATCATTAAAATACAAGAGATGTTACTCTTATTTCAATTTTTTTCGATTCCTCATAAAAGTTATAAACATTCACAAAATAATAGCTTCATCTTTTTTCGTTTAATTTCGCCAAAAGATGTTGAATTATTTTTAATATTTGGTTGGTGAGTGAAAGATATATTACAGAAAGCATATATTAAAGGTTGATAATAATAATAATAATAATAATAATAACAATTTATAGAATAGTTTAATTTGGTGAAACTTTTGAGTGCTAAAAGTTAATAATAACGTCTAAGGGTTATTTGAAGCAAGTAGAAGAGTTAAGATAGTTGTAATAAAGAAAATGACTTCCGCCTAAAGAAGTTGCTTTTCCTTTTCTGATGCAAATTGTTTTACTCGAAATACATTTATGATAACCAAATATCATCAATATCAAATACATCTAAATAGAGAAAATTGATGCAAGTAAATCATATTGAGAGAGCATGGAAATATGTGTTACCTTCGTTATATTTCCAGCTAATAATCGAACCAACCTTTACGATTTCACCTTCATGAATCTCAAAACGGTTGACCTTACTAGGGCTTATAAATCATTTACTCTCCCCAACTTTGTGTTAAAAATCAAACTCCCCCCTCAACTTTGAACAATAATCATTCTCCCCCCTTTATCCTACACAATACCTATTTTGCCCTTGAATTTTTAATTTCCTCCTCAATTCAATACTTTTTTATTATATGATATTTTTCTATGGTTTTAGCTATAACTTAAATTATGTAATACCTATAATAAATTGTAATTAGAGTTCATTAAAATTATAAGTAGAATGAGTAATTAGAGTCGATCAATTAAAATTATCTTATCTTTAAATATATATTTAAGCTATATTTTCTTAGCCACGGAGCTAGAAAATCATATAAGATGATTGAAAAATACCTTAATTTTTTTTAACTATTTTGGATTGAACTTGTGAGCTAAGATAACTTGGGGTATTTTTCAATCCTCTTATATGAAAAACTCGGATTGAACTTGTGAGCTAAGAAATTAATGGACTCTATTCTCTTAGCTCACAAATTTTAATTTCTTAGCTCACAAGTTCAATCTGAGCTTTTCATATAAGAGGATTGAAAAACACCCCAAGTTATGTTAGCTCACAAGTTCAATCCGAAATTAAAAAAAATTGGGGTCCCTCTTGTATGAATTTCTAGCTTCGTCGCTGAGAAAATATAACTTAAATATATATTTAATATGCATTACATTAAAATAACAATCATAAAGATAAGGTAATTTTAATTGACTCTGATTACTTATTCTACTTATAATTTTAATGAACTCTAATTATAATTTATACTAGATATTACATGATTTAAGTTATAGCTAAAATCATAAAAAAATATCATATAGTAAAAAAATATTAAATTGAGGAGGAAATTGAAAATTCAAAGCGCAAAAAAGGTATTGTGTAGGATAAAGGGGGGAGAATGATTATTGTTCAAAGTTGAGGGGGGAGTTTGATTTTTAACACAAAGTTGGGGAGGGTAAATGATTTTCACCCGTTGAATATATGATGAGTATTGGTGTGAAAAATATCATGAGCAGAGTCTCCTCCGCACTTCACCTCTGTTGAAGCAATCGACTTGCCTTTCACACCCATATTTTCTTCTCCTCAGAATAGCAATAAGTTGTGAAAATTAAGAAAGTGGTGAGAAAATGTTAAGAACTTGTACAATTTACAATTTATGAAATTTCAAATGTTGGACCCCCATTTCAGTTTCAAAGGAATGTTCAGGTTGAATTGATTACTACTAGTGATGGCAAAATGGTTAAAAGAAAGTTATCCACCCATATTATCCATTAAAAAATGGGCCAGCTAATGAACTATTTAAAAACGGGTTAAATATGGATAAACCATATTATTCACTTAGAAAATGGATAATCAATTGATAACTAATGAGTTTAACTTTTACATTTGTAAAGCTTCAAATTGGGGGTTTCTCAAGTTTGGGAGACTAGGAATTCTCCAAAAATAATCATATTCACTAAGTCATGGATAATATGGATGTCTATATCATCCGTCGGTTAACCTCCTATTTATCCGCATTAAATATGAATCAGATCGGATAATTTATTCGTTTTTTGCATTACTCATTTTTTACTCGCCCATGTCCGACGTTTGCCATCCCTAGTTACTACTAACTTCTGCTTTTTTTGTTGCTATTAATTTCTTCATCTTGTTGTCGTTAAGATGCTAATAAAAGAAAAACAGAAAACTGCTAAATGCTAATGTTGATGGTATCTACTAATAAGCTTTAAAGACCGACATCTTACTATTTGACTTTCTTGGCAAAATTTAAAAGCAAATATTTAATTATGACTTTCTTGGCCAATTTAAAAGCAGAGATTTAATTGTATGACTTTCTTGGCCAATTTAAAGTATCATATCTATTTGTTTAACTTTTTGTAACGACCCGGCCGGTCGTTTCATAATTACCGCTACGTTTCCCCTATTTTTTCTTCTTATTGTCCTGTTCGGCTGTATTATGTATTATCGGTTTGGTTGGATCGGGTTCGGAGAGGTTTTGGTAAGGTTTGAGACACTTAGTCTCTTTTGAGTAAGTTTAAGTTGGAAAAGTCAACTGAATAATGACTTATGTGATAAAGGTCTCGGATGTGAGTTCCGATGGTTCGGATAGCTTCGGAAGGTGATTTGGGACATAGGAGCATGATCAGAATGTGTTCTAGAGGTACGGAGTAGATTTAGGCTTGAATTGGCGAAATTAGAATATCGGCGTTTTCCAGTTGGTAGGTGAGATTTTAATATAGGGTTCGGAATAGATTTCCGGGAGTTGTAGTAGGTCCGTTGTGTCATTTGGGATATATGTGCAAAATTTCAAGTCATTCGGACGTGGTTTGATAGGCTTTTTGATCGGATGCAGAATTTGGGAGTTTTTGGAATTCTTAGGCTTGAATCCGATGCAAATTTGGTGTTTTGATGTTGTTTTGAGCGTTTTGAAGGTTGGAACAAGTTTGAATGATGTTATGGGATATGTTGGCGTGTTTGGTTAAGGTCCCAAGGGCCTCGGGTGAGTTTTGCGTGGTTGAACGGATCATTTCAAGTTGAAAAAGATTGCAGAAAATCTACTGTGAGTGTTGCAGACTTTTGGCCTTCGCGTTCACGAGTGGGCTCTCGCGTTCGCGAAGGGTTAAGATGAGAGGCTAGAGGTTTGGCCTTCGCGTTCGCGATTGAGGTCCCGCGTTCGCGAAGGGTTGGGGTCAGTGAGCTTCGCATTTGCGTGTGTGGGGTCGCGTTTGCGATGAGTGGAAAGGCTGAGGCTTCGCGTTCGCTTACGGGGTGTCGCGTTCGCGTACGGGTTGTCGCGTTCGTGATGAGGGAAAAGTGGTCAATGCCAGGTTGCTACGCGAATGCGAGGCGTTGACCGCGTTCGCGAAGAAGAGGTTTTAAGTGCTGGGAAGAATGTTTTAAAAGACGAATTCCGCGATTTTTAGCCTAAGTTCCACCATTTTTGGGTGATTTTAGAGCTTTTTGAAGAGGATTGAAGAGGGAATCAAGAGGGAACACTTGGAGATAAGATTTATGGACTCAATACTCAATTCTAATGTGTTTTCTACCTAATTAATCATGGAATTTATAGAACTTAAGCCTAAATATTGAAGAACTAGGGCTTGTAATTGGAGACTTAAAATTAGGGATTGAGGAGTCATTTATCGGATTCCGAGACGTGCGCCCGGGGGTTGGGTTTGGACAATTTCGGAATTTGTGTTGTAATTTGATTACTTTCAAGTGGGCTCTGTTCCCTTAGTATATTTTGATGGTTGTGCACTGATTTGGTTAGTTTTGGATCATCCGGAGGCCGATTCGAGGGGCAAGGGCATTGCGAGCTAGTGTTTGGACCAGATAGAGGTGAGTAATCATTGTAAATGTTGTCCTGAGGGTATGAAACCCCAAATTTCACATTGTTGTGCTATGTTGAGGTGACGCACACACTAGATAACGAGTGTGGGGTCATGCACCGTTGGAGATTGTGACTTAGTCCATCCCGAATGACTGTTTTACTGCGTATTTGATTGAAAATTGTTTGCTATCATCATGTTTCGGGTTGAATGCCCTATTTGGGCCTCGTGCCAACTGTTTTGGACCCTTAGGGGATCTTTAGTACTATTCCTCACTGTTTTGACTTCATACTTGTACTCAGTCATGCTATATTCACTGCTTTCATAACTCAGCCATGTTTACTCTGTTTTGACATCTTAAATGATATTTTGAGCTAAGCATCATATTTAACTGTGCCCGAGTGGCTTTTAGATATGTTTGACTGAGTAGGGTCGAGGGCCTGTGTTGCGAGGTTATTATGAGATCGGGCTGCGCGCCGCAACAGTATTTTGCAGATTCATGATTTTAGGCCGAGGGACTGAGTTGTACACCATAAAGTGGCTTGATATGAGGCCGAGAGCCTATTTGATTATGCCACGAGATGGCTTGTTATTGCGTTTGGACCGTAAGGGGCCCCTCCCGAAGTCTGTACACCCCCAGTGAGCGCGGGTACCCAGTGTGAGATGTGATGTATGTTGATACCCAATTTTTTCCCTATATATTTTAAATATGTATAAATACCTTCAAAATAGAATATATATGCATATATAAGAGCATGCACAAGGTTTTATAATTTTTTTCCTAATTTTAAGGGTTTAAATTAATTTATTTTCTTCCCTTTTATTCATAAAATCCCCAATAACTATTTCATAAATTATTGTTATGATGATTTATTTGCTTAATTTCAATACTTATACAAAAATATAGTTGATATATTTTTATGTATTTTCATAATTACATTTAGTATTTTTTAAGCTAAATTGTAAATAATTACAATGTTAGCCCTTTTAATGTATAATTACATTTTATATGCGTAAAATTGATCCCTATATTTTTAAAATAATAATTAAATATTTTAAATCATTTTGGCACATTAAATTATTTTCCAAAAATTACTTATTATTATTTAAAAATTAAAATATGAAAAAATGGCTATTTAAATTATAGCCAGATTTGGCTTTCAATTTTAGCCTAATTTTAACCCAATCCCAACCTAATTCCTAATCAGATTACCCGACCCATGCCCCAATTACCCCTACCCAACCCAAAGCCATATTAAATCTTGATCGTTGATCTAAAAGATCAACGGCCCTCGTCCGTTCTTACCTTTTTTTTTTACTTTAAACCACCCCCAACCCTAAATCATTTTTCTAAACTCGCCGCCTTTGAATCCTCTGGTCTCTCTTCTCTCAACCTAACCCTAGCCTTCTTCAACCACCGCCTCCCTCTCCGGTCATCTCCGGCGACCACCTTTCAACCCCAAGCCTCCAATGGTTCCTCCATTGCCTTGCTCATCATCTCTGAGGCCTTCAAGGGACCTGGGGCATGCCGAATTGTATCTAGGGTTGCTGTTTTGGTTGTTCATGGCTTCTCCGATGTGATACTAGGCAAAATCACACTATATTTGTTACGATCTATGAAGTTCTAAGCAAGTTCTTCTATCTCTACCTGGGTCTCCTTTGAAACCCTATTTTACGTTTGTATTTCTTAGATCTGGGCCATTTTTAAACGCTTCAAGCCCGTTTCTTATATGTTCTACACTATTCTCAAAACTCTTTTAAAAAATCATCAACTTTAAGCTGTTTTACTTTCTCTTAAAAATTAGGGTTCTTTCGGAACTTCTTCTACACTTTGTTAAAACTGATTCTTTATGTTTGAAACCTCTTTCCTTGCATGTCTTGACTGATTCTATGTTCTTACTGCTTTTTCAACTCGCCTATGTTAAAAGCCTTAATCTTTTAGATCTTCTTTGTTTTGGTTCTGTATGTTGGCATGACTACTCGATTCTTGTTAAGTTCTGTGGTTACCGTGCTTCAAATGGGTTTTACTGAGTCCTTAGCCTACTTATATCACCTCTGTGTGATTGTACTCATCTTGATTGTTCATCTCTTGCCTTTTTCTATCGATATTGCTGACCTTGCATGTTTTCTACGTCTGTTTGTTCTTCTCTATTTATAGGTTGAAGTATAGAATCATAACTCTCTCTTGGTTGATTCTGATTTCCTTATTTGATGGTTTGATTGAAAGATTTTCTTTTAAAAAAACCTAAAATTCTACCTCGTCTGTTTAAATTGACTGATTCCATTACCTTATTTGTTGTGGTATTTTATCTTTACTGAGTCATTTCCTTAGTTGAAGTTTTCTGAACTTAGTCCTAATTGGCTACCCTATGCTTACTGAATCTTGATTCTTTCCTTATTAGTCATGTACTGATTTTTCTTGCCTTATATGATACTGGTTCTCACCATTTGAATTGATTCCCTTAACTTAAGAGAGTACTTGCCTTGATTTCTGACTGCCTGATTCTGAGTTTCTTAATTAACATGCTACTATGATTCTTACCTTATTTACTACCTGTTTTAAAACTATAACTACTCTAGTCTTTCATTAGCAAAAGACAAGAACACTTGGGTTCAAAAACTACCTCTCTTACTAAAAATCTCTGCTCTCTCTCTTGTGCTATTTGCTACTGTTAGCGGCTGCAAGCCAATGCTAACCATTTGTTCTCTCTTGTTCTTTCATTCTGCTTACTCTCCTCTTCACTGGTATGTCCTAGTTTCAATTCAAAGTTCCA